TCTCGAAAGTTTTCACAGTTCTTATGAAGCTTGTTGTACTGCGCGGCTTTTAATTGAACTGTCATAAAAAAATTTAAGCATCCGTGATCTTCTGAACTTATGTGAAGACTTCAGTTAACTTTTTAACGTCTCTGAAATCTTGGAACTGCTTTAAATTTTCCACTAATTTTCTAAAACTTATGAAACTAACCTCCCCCTAAAATTCATCCAACCAATTTTCGGAGCTTACTAAACTTGTTTCAAATGCTCCCGTATTTTGCTAATGTTTATAAAAATTCATGAAATTCGCGGATCTCCCCTTAAGCTCCATAGATTTCATTTCTATGAAGTTCTCGAAATGTTTCTGAAGACCACTGTCCTTCTGTGGAGTTTTCGAAGGTTTTCTAAATTTCTGGAACTTTTGTGCTCCCGCAATTTTCATGGAATTATAACGAAATAATTAATAATGTTTTGTGATTTTCACTGAAGTTCTGAGGATTTTTGTGAAGTTCATGGAACTTTCTTCAAATTATCGACACTAATTTTAAACTTCTTCAATAGTCTAGACTTTCCTGGTGTTATTAAATCTGCCTAAACGATTACTGAATTACTTTTAAGTTCTATAGTATGTCTTGAATTTATCAGTTTTTTTTGAAGAACCCGCAACTTAACTGAAATTAATTGATTTACCTTGAAGTTTCGGAAATTTTCTTGAAGTATTATAACCATTATATATGAGAAAGTTTGAACATACTGAGAGGTAAGCACATATTATCGGAAAAATCTAAGGGCACCGGTGGGATTCTAACCCACAATTCCCATTCAGTACACGGGTGCATTGCCAATTATCGAAGACATCATATCAAGAAGACTGGCAACTTTGCCAAAATCCAAGCGCCAGCTTTGCTGAAGTTTCCGGAAATTCACTGAGTTTCTCGAAACTTCTTTAAGGTTTCTACAATTTCCTTGAAATTATTTGAACTGCCCTTCGATTATCTGATCTGTCTTGATGTTCTCGAAGCTTGTCTGAAGCTCTCAATTCAATTGAATATTTCGGTTCTGCTCGGAAACAAATAGAATTCCCGTCAATATATAAAATATTTCTGAAATTTTCAACATTCTCTGAAGGTGTCTGTACTTCCCTGAAATTCTCGGAACTTCTGAAGGGTTCTCGGTTTTTTTTTTAACACATCATGGAACTACCCTGATTTTTTTCTAAATTTACGATTATAGATCTTTAAAGTGCTCTTAAGATCTGAAATTCCCCAGAGATATCTAAATCTAGCTTTTTTGATGTGCTTAGAACTTCTTGCACAATAACCCTCAAGTTTTCTATATTTTTCAAGTTTGCTTGACACCCGTGAAGTTCTCTGAGATTCTTAAAGAACCGCTTTGAGGTTTCTTAAAGCTTCCAGTAAGTTCCCCATCATTTCAGCGTGTTAACTTCCCTTATGTTCCCTCAGTTTGTTTATGAAGTTTCACTGAAATTCTCAGCATTTCCTTTCATCCCTCAGAACTTCTCTAAAGTTCCTTGAGCATTGGCATAACCTTGAGGATTGCTTAACTGCAACCAGGTCCCAGGCCTTGTCTGTATATTTACATGTTGAAAGATGCACACTAGTGATGCCAGTTGTGATGTAGCGGACCAAAAGTTTGTTGGAATTTAACTATAAACTAAAATTAAATAATTGTGTAGTTCAGAATTATGATTTTAACAATTAATTGTTTTTTTCTTAATAATTGAGACTAATGGCTGCAAAAAAAAATATTTATTTCGTTCAACGCTTTTGAAATGCGACATCACACAGGTACTACCTTTAAATTTGGCTTGATCGAGTGGTGATTTTCTTTTCTTTAGATCAAGACGATGAAGTTTTCAAGAAGACAACGATCATAAATGACAGGGAAGAAAAAAGTTGGTCGTCATATTACACCTGGAAAACTAGTGTGAAACAGGATATCAAGAGATCGGGCCAGTCCTTGAATTTCTTGAAAGAGCTGGCAAATTAATGAAAACAATGTCAAAACGCCACTACAATGGTTGACTATGAGTACGAAGCGAGCGATGGAACAGTATCAGTGACTTGGCCTTAAAAAAGAAGACTTTCTAGAGACTGGTTTGAAAAAAGTGACCAAGTCACTAAAAAGTGACTCGCTATCAGCCCTGTTATTTAAGTTTAAAACACTTTTTTGATTTTTTTTTTCATAAAAATTACATAATTTTTTTACCGTGTATATTTTTCCTTCCAATTAAGTTGCTGATGTAATTTCGATTGGAAGTGCCGTTTTCTAGCTATGAAAACTATAGAATACGTTATACTGAAGAATTTTTGTGAGTTTCAAAATGGCTGAATTTCAGCTCAAATGTTAATGAATGACCATAAAAATCAAATGGATGTAATGTCGGCCTAAATGCCCCTAATTTGGGCCCATACTTAAATTCAGCAATCGACTATATTTTCAATAGCGACCAAAAATATCCATTAGTACCCTTCCAATGACGCGTTCATCTAGATAAAATTAATAAATAGCAGATTTTTAGCGATGGGCCGATCTCAGATCCATAGGCCATCATTAGAGCCATTTCCCCTATGAAAAGTTCCATGCAAATCAGAGCAGGTCGAATCTGAATTTTTGTTTATTTTGCTATTTGGCCTAGAATTGCTCTATTGTCAAACTCTGATTGAAAAGTGATTTATGGCGCTCTATGCTTTTCAGGTGAGAGTGACTTATCGGCAACCAGTTTCTTTTTTTTTTCGGCATCCGTTCCCTTTAAACTTACATTGCAAACACTACACAACTATTGTCGAAGAAAACGCTGGTAATAAGCGTTAGCTCAACCTTTAAAAGTGAATCAAATTGATACTAAAGCACAGAGAAATCATCAGAATCCATTTAGTTAAGTGTTAAAGTGTAGAGATCTGAGAGATCTGTAGAGTGAAATTGACGATGTCAAATATAATCACTACTTACTAAAGCCGTAAAGGTATGAGAATGGAGGGAGTGTCTAAAATGCTATGCAAAATGCTACTAATAATCAAGCCCTCAACTTCCCTTACGAAGTTCTCGGGTATCGCCGTTGCTAATTTGCTCATCAAATTGTGAAGGCATCATTCTCGACTCGCCAAATCTAGCGCACTATCGTTAACAAATGAAGCCAATAATCAACAGGTCTCAACATTTCAGACAAAAAAAAAAGACAAACCTCCACCATGACGACCCAGTACTGCTATTGTGACACAACGGGAGACAATTTCACACTCGATTAAGATCGATTTGGATTCCCTTTCGGACTTCTGTTACTTTACGGCCTGTTGTTGTATATGTACCGACCAAACCAGCTTTCCTTTTTTCACCTCCATAGCATCCGGTGCCTATAGACCTAGGTTAGGTACATCACGACAATGCAGCACAACCTGGTCTATACAAGGTGTGGAGATCTAGCCCTGAAGTATGTGTTGGTAGAGGGAAAAATGTAAACTTTGCGGGAGACGATGGTGACGACGTCATAACACTCGAAAGGAAATTTGCGAAATAAGAAGTAAAACAAATCCTAGCTATTTTTGCATGATGATTTTGCTTGATTGTATTCTTTTGTAAAGTCGCCGCAAAATATCAGCTGGCAATTTTTATTTTATGGTAACTCTCTACTTGATAACAGGCAAAATCTCACAAACAGGCTGCTTTTTCATGGTATACAGTGTGATAATTCAATAATCAATAAATTATCTCAACATTTGGTGGTAGCCCATTCATAAATTTTGGTAACATACATAAATTCTATAATCCATATTAATTTTCCTATGCAAGCTCCGATCGAAACAAACGCCATGACGTCACTACACGCTAACTTGAAAGTACCCATTAATGGTTGAAAAAGACCCATTTTGAAGAAAAGTGGCTTAACTCATTAAATGAGTAAATTGTTTACCCATTAATGAGTATCTGTTACCCATTAATGAGTAATTGTTAATTATTAATGGGTAACAGATACTCATTAATGGGTAAAATTGTTTAATCATTAATGAGTTAAGCCACTTTTCTTCAAAATGGGTCTTTTTTTATTCATTAATGAGTACTATCAAGTTAGCGTGTACAAGAGTGATTGAGTGAACGAAAGAAACGAATCGTGCGAAGCGGAATGAAAGCCGAGTAAAAAACGAAGTGCACCAATACATTCAGGCCTACAATTCTACACCTTGTATAGACCAGGTTGAATGCAGCAGGCATCTCTTGTGCAAAAGCAACTGAGTCAAGGAATCGACACCGGAAACAGAGCGGAAGTTTTGCTTTATTAGTTTTCCACCGAAAAGTGCGAGTCAAAAGGCGGCAGCAGCAACGTAGTCCACCGGGCAGCTTGTTCATCCCCGGATGAAGAAGGATAAAAGGATAGTGAAAGCCGAATCAATTCAGGTACTTGGGCAACGGGACGGGTGCGCGGCGGTTTCGGTGGATGCTGTTGGCTGGGCCAACAAGCGCTGAACCGGGAGCATAAAGAAAGCTTTTCATTTATTGTTTTATTGTTCTACGGGTTTGTGTGCCAGTGCTGTCTGTCTGGTACAGCAGCAGTAGTATTCTGCCAGCCATTAAGGGTAGAACCAAGTGGAAGCGTTCAAAGGGAAGCGAAAGATTTTTTTTTTAAATTGGGCCACGTGAAGTATCATCGAGTAACTCATGCACACCCACACGTACACGAGTGGTTAAAAAATATGAGCGGAAAAGAGCATCCTGCATCCCTTTGACGATGGATGCTATTGTAACCACGGATGAAAGGAACTAGGTGCTTTTTGGGAGTGCTTTCAGGTAGCTTTGTAGATGTGTTAGACAGTTATTGGTCGTATTTAGTTGATGGAGACGCACGGTGTTCCATGCTGCAGTTCATTTTGATTGAATGATATTCCAGCACTGGGAAGCTCCCCAGCATGATCCGCATTGGTATCAGTGTTTCAATTTCCGTTTCATATAAATCCATCCCCGTCAGAAGAAGGAAACCTGCTATGCTACCTAGTAGTTGTACGTACCTGGAACAGCAGGAACGCGTATCCCTTCGGTGGAAAGTAGGACTTGGACTCGGCCTTGTGCGGCCAATCGACGACGAGTGCTCCGTATTGGTTGAACGACGTGGTGATTTCCTCTGCAAGTAAAGAAGAATCGAAAAGGTACGTTAAAATTCACTCCGTGCAACCGACGATGTGCTTGTTTTTTTCCTGGAATATCCAGGCAGAAGGGAGAAACAAAACAAAATCACAGAGGCACCAGCCAGGAAAAATCTCATTTACTTGTGCCGGTTCCCGAGTGATTCGTCCCACTGGGGTTGGAGAATGGTAGGAGTTTTACGTTATAAATAATGTAGCTATTCCGGCTAGGATCCCGGACAGACACTTACAGCCGCCGCTCGTCCCTGTGTATTACTGCCGCACTCCAAGCAGGAGCCAAAATGCGGAAAAGAAAGTAGGTGATGATAAAAAATTTACTTCAATTTAACTGAATTTGCTTGGTGATTTTAAAAGGGAATAGACTATAGAGGAAGGCGGTGGGATGATGATGTTCGAAGATTCGTGTTTGTGTTGCTTCTCTCAGAATCCTCGCTGTATGGAAATGGGAGGGGATGGTACGAGCAACACCTTCCGGTAAAAGTTGAAACAATATGCAACTATGATGAGTATAATAGGTATAACGAGCTGATGGCAATAAATCTGTTTATATAATAACAGCATAAAGCCAAACATGATGCGCCCCGTCCCCACCCTTTTTCACACAAGCGTACTTCCTAGTCCCCTTCTTCCCATACACGTGGGGTTCCGGTTTCTTCTGCCGGCTTTCAGCTGAATCTCGGTTACTTGCGAACAAAGGGAGTCGGATTTCGTTCCTGTACAGAAACAATAGCAGCCAAAGTTTTCGACAAGTTTAATTCTCCGGTTGAAGTTTTGCCTTCTGGGCGTTGAATAGTTTTCGCAAAATTTGTTTACAGCAGTGCCTGCGTTTAGCTGGAAGAATGGTAGCAGCAGAAACCTAACCTTGTTGCCGCAGGTGTAATGGAATCTCCGTTAATAATTTGAAATTTATCGATTTCTCTTGAACGGGTGCCGGCACCTGCTGAGGTTTTAATGCATTGCTCTATTTGAGTGTTAATTAAAATGTATGTGCGGAGAATTCTGGTACATTGTCTTACGACCTTTGTTCAACACATTATACATTTTAGAGGTGTCATGCGCTGCAAGGCATACTGCCATTTGGAATCCGGTATGCTGGTTCCAGCGAACTTCGGCGAATAAGATTGATGGATCAGGGCTTCCATGCGTGGGATTGTTTAACCCGTGTGAAATCACCGTTTTAAGCAAATACCAACTAGGGTTGTAGTACCGGTACCGGTTTTACCGGTAATACCGGATGATTTTCTGGTGCCGAAATACCGGTACTGGCATGTGAAAATTCCGACAATTTCGGTACAGGCCATTTGAAAGCTAATTTTAATTTTTGATGTTAAATATATTTCAAAGTGTTTCTAGTAGCACTGTAAACGAGTATTGATTTAAAAACATAGAACAGAAGTGAAAGTGCAAAAAAATCAGCGAATCAAAAAGTGAAACAGTAAGCGATGTGCTCAACAGCTGGATAATGCGGAGTCGATCGATTTTATTTTGCATGCCAATCGAAAACTGTTTGATTTTTTTTTCAAGTTTAAAACTGTTTTCCTTCTTAGTTGATTACGGCCAAAAGTCCATTCATGGCAATCGAATGTGCAGGAAGGCAGCATCCACACCTGTGTAGGATATCGCACCCATTTTCAACACACATGGGCTGGGACCAACGGCTTTACTTCCCTTCCGAAGGAAGACGTGACCAGAGATTTTAATGCCTCAGAAAAATCCTACCGACCTCGGCTGTGATTGAACACAGACCCATTGGGGTGAGAAAGCAGTCACGCTTACCACTACACCACCGGCGCCGGCTATTTGTTGCTTCTGAATATTTGGCTCCCGTTTGACAGTGCACACTGGCTCAAAAGTCACAAGCACATTGAGTGAGTCCGCAGTTTCCAGCTCAACAGTAATTTCCATACGGTCTCTGACCAACTGCTAGTCTTAAAGACTGCAACCTGCAAGTAAAAGCGTCAGGTATTGTGTGCTTAGCCAATTACGTACTTCGGTTTGAATTTTAACAAAAGAGGGGGGAGATTTCATTCTTTCTCGGGGGTCATAGCGGAATCATAGTACACGAAACTGTGTGACGGTACGTTGGTCTCTCTCCTCTTTGGAGCGAATCTCCCGCGAAAAGCTCGACTCCGTCGATGCTCAGCTCTTTCGAAAGAACATCGGAAGCCACTACCTCTGCACCTCTAATTTCGGCCATACCGCATACGGGTCACCCTTCGTCGCTACACGTCATTTCCGAAGCTAGATCGGTGTCATTCCGAGACCTTCGCCATCGCCTCAGATCGTCGGAAGGCCGCCATCACCGTTTCGTCCGTCGCTATCAACGCATCTCTCATCGCATCAAAAAACCTGCGCAGGTATGTTGGAATGTTATTCCCCAAAAATAAAACCCTCACACCACTGCGTCCTAGTACGGTCGACTTGTTTCGTGCTCCGTTAATTTGGAAGTTTTCTCGCTATTCTCTGACGTAAATAATCAGTTTTTTTTTCTCGCTTAGTGATTCCTGGCATAATTCCCGGTAAATTTATCAAAAAGTGAGTTTTTTTTTCTGAGAAGAAAGAGTGTTTTCGGCATCATCGAAAATTGTTTTTGCGATTGGCAATTCGCCAATCATTTTGCGCACCATCGGTGCGTGGTCACGCATACCTGTGCACACGGATCGTCGTCATCGAGTGTCAGCATCTGCCTCCACATTTAAACCGCTCATCCATCATCGTGTGGCTCGGCCGGTTCCAGGAACGTCTTTCCGTAGGAAACCTCCTTCCCCTTGGTGGGACCAGCAATGCACTGAGGTTTATCGTAAAAAGTCCGACGCGTTTAAGCTTTTCCGGAAACGTGGAACACCCGTACATTTCGAAGCGTACTCGGCTCTTGAACGCGAACTCAAGAGCCTCATCAAAGCCAAGAAACGCGGATACTGGCGGCAATTCGTGGACGGATTATCGCGCGAAACTTCGATGAATACGCTTTGGAATGCGGCGCGAAGGATGCGTAACCGGTCTTCAAACAACGAGAGCGAGGAGTACTCGGATAGTTGGATTCTCAAGTTCGCGCGAAAAGTATGTCCTGATTCTGTGCCGGCACAGATGATTCCTCGCGAAACGACAAATTCGGTAGACGAGATCAGCCAGCCTTTTTCAATGCTGGAGCTCTCACTCGCACTCCTTTCGTGTGGCAATTCAGCTCCGGGGGCTGATAGAATCAAGTACAACTTGTTGAAGAACCTCCCAGACGTCGCTAAGAGGCGCATGTTGAACTTGTTTGGTCAGTTCCTGGAGCTTAATATTGTTCCGGATGATTGGATGCGGGTGAGAGTTATAGCCTCGAAAATTGTTGGAGAAAATGATCCTTTTTCGCCTGGACAAATGGGTTGAGTTGAACCACCTACTCTCAGATACTCAACTGTCTCGCGTTGCTTTCCACTGAAATTCAGTTGGCTTTTGCTAAAAAAAGAGCAAATGGCTTCTGTCTTCTTGGATATTAAGGGGGCTTTTGATTCAGTATCGGTTTTGTACAATTTGCTGTCAGAGAAACATATGAGCTTTTCTCATTGAAACTCTACAGCTTCACGATTTAGCTACATGGCCCCAGGGCTCATGTTTAAGCCCCCTTTTGTATAAATTCTACGTCAGAGAAATTGACAATTGTCTAAGTGACAACTGCACGTTGAGACAACTTGCAGATGACGGAGTAGTGTCTATGACAGGGCCCAGAGAGGCCGACCTGCAAGGACCCTTACAGGATACCTTAGATAATTTGTCTACTTGGGCTATCGAGCTAGGTATCGAATTCTCCACGGAGAAAACTGAGTTGGTCGTTTTTTCTAGGAAGCATAGCCCAGCACAACCAAAGCTTCAACTTTTGGGTAAACCGATCACTCATTCTATGTCCTTCAAATATCTTGGGGTCTGGTTTGATTCAAAATGCACCTGGAGATCCCACTTTGAGTATCTGAAATGCCAACAAAGGATCAATTTTCTCCGTACAATTACCGCAAAGTGGTGGGGAGTCCATCCGCAAGATCTTCTAACGTTGTACCGGACAACGATTTTATCGGTTTTAGAGTACGGTAGTTTTTGCTTCCAGTCGGCGGCTAAAACGCACATCATCAAACTGGAACGGATCCAGTATCGTTGTCTTCGTATCGCGTTAGGATGCATGCACTCGACTCATACTATGAGTCTCGAAGTGCTGGCGGGCATGTTGCCACTATCCGTCCGTTTTTCAGAGTTATCTCTGAGGCTCCTCACCCGTTGCGAAGTAATGAACCCACTGGTGATCGAAAATTTTGAGAAGCTTCTGGAGCTAAATCCTCAAACATGTTTTATGACTTTGTACTACCTATATTTAACACAGGAAGTCAGCCCTTCCCAGCATAATCCCTATTCGTGTCCCTATCCATGACGCAAGAGATTCGCGGAATCCCAGAGCATCATCGTTCCATGCTCCGTAAATTTTCGCTGCAAAGTTTGACCAAGTTGATTCCGCAAGATCGTTTTTCACAGATGGATCACTAATAGAGGCGTCCGCTGGTTTTGGTATTTATAACGAATTTCATAGCACCTCTCGAATACTTCATGCTCCTTGTTCCGTATATGTTGCTGAACTGGCGGCAATACATTATAAGCTAGAAACGATCGCCTCACTTGCACCAGATCATTATTTTATTTTTACGGATAGTCTCAGTTCTGTCGAGGCTATTCGCTCCAAAAATACGAGAGCTTCTAAGTGCTTTATCTTTAAGATCTTTTGTCATCACCTTTGCATGGGTCCCATCTCATTGCTCGATTCCGGGCAATGAGAAGGCGGACTCGCTTGCAAAGGTGGGCGCTATGGAAGGCGATATTTACGATCGACAAATCGTCTATCTTCATTTATCGTCAACAGTCCCTCGCCAGCTGGCAAAATAAATGGAGTGAAGGGAGTTTGGGACGATGGTTATATTCAATCATCCCTAAGGTGTCGAAGTGTCCTTGG